CTATTTTTGTCACACACAGAAACATGCATCATGGCGACTTTTGGAAGCAGCCTCAAGTGACACTGGAAGAACTGCAGTTTTTCACCACAAATCTTTCTGCTCTGGAGGTTTGTGCTGTGTCTATCTCTAACATACATTTACAAAGCTGCACAAAAGTCTGTCATGACTCTTGTTTATTCAGCTTCTCATATTTTTGCGTTGCTTTGCTTCCATATTCCGAACTTCTTCAACATGCTGAAATTTATTTATTATTTATTAAACAAATTAATTATTGAATTGTGTGATAAATATATTATATTATTATTATATTATTAATACTAATATTTATTTTCTTTCACATCTAATGTACAATGTTATTCATTTACGTGTTTAGTTATTTATGTATTAATTTTACTTACTTATTTGTGCTGTTTCTCCACATGTGTGGATTTTCTTTGAGAGACTGAAATTATAGACACAAACGGTGTGTAACTGTGTGCTCATTTAAATGAGCATAACGGCAGGAAAAGGGAATAATCGTGGGTTATAGGAACTTCTCATTCCTTGCAGAAATATTGCATTTTGGAGTCACGTATTCACACTCCAGCCCAGCAGGTGGCGGTAATACAATAAAATGTTGAATGTCAACTGCCTAAAAAAAAGAGCTAGAGCCAATATTGACAGGTCGTTGCCTGTAACACTGATAAGACCGCTGATAAGGTGTCGGGACATTAACAGAAAGAACACCGATGTGTCTTTAACAGAAACTCGCCTCCGCTCCTTTAAACAAAATGCTAAACATGTGTCCGATAACAAGACTTTTATTTTGAATGCTCTGACCGGACGTTGTGTTTTTACTACCGGAAGCCTTTTCGTGTTTAGGCCACACTGGATGCAAAAGGCACGAAATTTGGGTGCAGAAACGTTAGCTTCTGTTAGTTTCATGAATGTGAGAATAAAAATAGAAACGGAACCTTGGAAATAAACACACATGGATCCCAACCGTATAATCCAGGCTCTGAAGGGAACTATCGACCCCAACCTGAGGATAGCGGCAGAAAATGAACTCAATCAGGTGGGTGAGCTAAATAGTTTTGGTTTGCTTGTTTTCTGTTTTCATTCGAGCCGAGGAGGGCTGCTGGTGTTTGTGGAGGATGGCGGACCGTGTTTTGGGCATTGCGCTCGGCTTTACCTGGTTAACGTTCAGATGCATATATTAGGCCTAAGATCAGCATTTAGACTAACCGGTACCCCAACAGTCACTGCGGCAGCTGCCCTCGAGAACAATAGGAGGCAGTTCTGACAGCCATCATGAGCCGACGGTCAGCAGCGGGGGTTCCCAAACTTTCTCATGTCAGCGCTGGAGTTCAGGACTTCCTGCTGTTCTCTGTTGTTGCTCCTGCCTTCAATGGCCGAATAATAAAAAGGATCGCAATATCTGGCGATTGAGAGCTTTGCTGAGTTACTAGAATGATGCAGAAATCCACTGATGTTTATGCTGTGTTATTATAACGCTGGCTGTATCATGACTGAAACTTGAATTGATAAGTCTTAAATGGATTTGAGCTGTGGGCATTCACACTGTGTAATAACTCCTTATTTAATTACACATGCATTGTGTGATTATATAAGCTTTACATCTAAGCTCTAAATCACCTGCTGGACAATCCTCGTTTTTTTTAAAGGAAAATAAATCTTCTTCTGTCCTCTTTTTCTTTCTCCATCTCTGAGATCGCACATTACTTTGTGTTTTTTTTCTTTCTCGGAAACGGATCTATTGCACTTTTACAAAGCTATACAGAAAGGGTTGGTGTGTTTGTTTCATTTTAATTTGTCTGCAATTTCAAAAGAAATAACTGTGATGTCTTCAATGTCACAACTTTGACATCGTCCTGGATGAATTCATGGCAGGCATAAGATGGGAACCAAAACGACATGTGGCTCTAATTTGAATCCTCTCACAACACGCTTTTAGTGTCTTCTTTAGTCGACATCAGGACTTTTTAATAAAGTTTTGTACTTCAGGATGCAGTAGACTGAGCAAGACAAAAAGTATTTTACTTTAATCTTGGAAAGGGGGAGCTGGCCGGAGAGGAGGTGGAGAACAACAGGTTTTATGTGGGATTGGAAAGTTTACAAAGGCCAGAATACATTCACTGACCGACAGCTGAGAATTGCAATCCTCTAGAAAACATCTGTCTAGGATCCAACAGTCTCTTGCGAGTGGAACGTGAATGGACTTTGGCAGAAGTACACATGGTAATAAAATAATAATAATAATCAATCTTGCACTGTTCAAGACAGAAATGTTAGATGTCACCAAATTATAAAAACAGTTAGACTGTATACTGTGATGAAGTGTCGCGACAATAAGGCAGCGTCTGTGGGGTGCTGCAGCTGCATGAGTGGGCCAATAAAAGAGAATTACACCACTAATGCACGCAGACCTGCGCAGCACATACTTGTCTTTGCATGCGTAGGCTGCAGTCAGCAAAACAGGTAGAATTTTCATATCAGTGTTATTTTCACTCATTCACTCACACTTTCCTCTTCATCCTTTGTCTTTGCAGTTTAAGCCTTTACCTGTCACACAGTTACACACTGGTGAAGGCTTCAGAGGCCATTTTTAAGAGCTGCAGCTTTGGCATCTTATCTTTCATTTCCAAAAACTTTGGGTTTAAAAATATTTTAATATTGTTTTGAATTCATACGAAATTTTGAAGCTGTCCATCTGTTTGTGTTTCAGTCCTACAAGATCATTAACTTCGCCCCTACCCTGCTTCAGATCATCGTGTCGGAGCAGGTAGAGTTTCCTGTTCGCCAAGCAGGTAAGATGCTAACTGGTTTTGGTCACTATGTTTCCATCATTATTTAGTAGTTAGAAAAATAGCACTGACCTGCTGAGAGAGACTGATGTATGAGTATGTCTAAAACTAGCTGCCATAGCCTACCATTTGGGAAGCACTTCACTAGTAAGTATTTGGAATAGCAGCATGGTGTCGGAGTGTGTCGGGTTTACACCGAACTCGAGAGGTTAAAGATTTGGATCTGCACGTGTGGTTTCTCAGCCTTAAGAAAATCAACAGACCAGTGTTTTAAATAGTCTTTGTGATTTGTAGAAGCACATAAATAAATGAACAGTGTGAAACTACATTAGCTATATGACCCGTGTGATGATGGTCTGAACGTGTGCTGTGGTTGTCTCGGTGTGCGCAGCTGCAATCTACCTGAAGAACATGGTGAGTCAGTACTGGCAGGACAGGGAACCGTCTGTCGGGGAGGTTGTGTTTCCCTTCAACATCCACGAGAACGACCGGCAGCAGATCAGAGATCAGATCTTGGAGGGTATCATCCGCTGTCCAGAGTCCATACGGTACATGCACATGTGCACACACCATTAAAAGCCCTTTGAATAGTGCCCACGACATGATAGTGACGCCACACATATTTTCTTTTTTCTGTAGTGCCCAGTTGACCATGTGTTTGCGAGCCATCATCAAGCACGACTTCCCCGGCCGCTGGACTGCCATTGTGGACAAGATCAACATGTACCTGCAGTCTCCAAACAGCGGCAGCTGGTATGGGACGCTGCTGGCTCTCTACCAGCTGGTCAAAACATACGAGTAAGTAACCTGTTCATGTTCAGCCCGCCCACCAATCACGTCTGGAGAGCAGAACGGGTTATTATTATTTTTTATTACGTCTGAAATCCTTTATTTAAAAAGATGGTGAAATTGAGATCAGGGCCCCTTTTTAAGAGTGATATGTGTGCAAAAGAAAAATGGAGTCTTAGGCCAGCGGCCCGCATCCTTTTTTGAGCCACGGACGGTTTAATGTCAGGCAATGTTTTCACGCTGTGGCCTTTAAGGTGTCGCGGATAAATACAACAAAATAAAATGCTACGTTCGAGACAAAAACTGGGATTTTGTAAATATAATAATAAAGATGAATTCACTGTGTAACTTTATTAGCAGCGCCCTCCTGAAATCCTGAAACAACATGGAGAGTAACATCCTCCTCTCTGCCCCTTAATGCTCCCTGGTCACTATGGTAACATGTAAATATTTCTTTCAAAATAAGACGCATGACTACAACACAGGAAAAGACCCGGGGAAACTGAGTTAACGATAAAAATCCCGAAAACCATAAGTTTCACACCGGAGCCTCAACTCTCGTGGCCCTGTACCGAACGACTCGCGGCCCGGTACCGGACCGTGGCCCGGGGGTTGGAGACCACTTGATTTTTTTAAAGTTCATCCGGCATGAAGCTGAAGTTTTATAAGAATCAGCAGTTTTAATCTGACGACCATGAAGGGTCTGAGTATGGATGCTTTTTGGTGACCTCATAAATATTGATGTAGAGAAAGATTTCTGACATTTGTCAAAAGCAGACTGTGGATTTTCAGTCTTGTCATCTGCGTATTTGCCTGTAACACGTGTTGCATTAAAAATACAGGAGCAGTGATCATATCAGCACTGAGGCGCAGGAGGGACAGTTTACTGTAGACCATCGTTGGTTTATCGAGGTAAACGTGAATTAGTTTTTACAGTTCTGAATATTTGGTGGAGAACATGTAAAATTGGAGATACTCTGTTGTTGGACAACAAGGATATAAAGGGGTTGAGGCGACATTTGTTGTGATTTGGCGCTATATAAATAAAATTGAATTGAATTGAATTGAATTGAAAGCAAATTCCCAGCGTGAAAGCATTCCAAAATGATTCCTGAAGGAAGTGATGTAGGTAAGGCTTTCCAGAACTTGGATGCTTTTCCTGGATGTTTGTAAGAGATAACCAATAGAAATATGATTTCTGTTGTCTAGTTTTGATGATGAAATTTGGGATTAATCTTTGTTTTTCCTCTCCCCAACATACAGGCTGTGTCTTTAGCATTGAGATCTCTGGGAATGACTAATGCAAACCAGGCTTGTTCTGTTTGAAAAACACATTCAGAACATTTAAACTTTAAATGTCACAGTGGGGCGAGTCATTTATCTGTAGCAAAGTTAGCAACCAGCTAAATCGCTTCTTTTGAGGAGCATTATAAATCTAGTGGAACAGCGGCTCACGAAGACCCCGTTTAATGAAGAATTCAAGTTATGAAGGCACTTAACGGCAAAATGCCCGCGTAACGAAGTAGATAAAACAGAAAATATTAAAAAATTTAATAAAATTCCATAATGTTATGTACATGTATACGTACATATTAGGGGTGCAACGATACACAAAATTCACGGTTCGGTTCGATACTTTGGT